GGCTCCAGGTACATCGTGTCCAGTATCCCCAGAGGGACAGGACTGTCCGAGACCAGCGACTCTGCTGCTTCTACTCTGCAGGTATAGATGAATACCGACTTAAGCCTATCATTTTTAATATGCTTTAATAACTTTGTTTTTTGCTCATTTTTAGAATTCAGTTTCAAAATGCAAACAAGACACCTCCTCCAGTTTTATCAAATACATTTGTATCAGATTTTTGATTTCATTTCACTTACCCTTCAATTTAGAAAACAAACACTGTGCCCGTTGTACACCTATTGTAGGGTTTTGGCTTTCTTATAAATACATTTTTCACAACCCCGTACCTCAGGACTCACTTTCATATACATTTTAGTTGTTTTCCTCTTGCTTCACACGTTTTTAATGAAAGGGTTCATAATAGTTTTTTTTTTTACCTAACTCTTTGACATGTTTTATGAAGACATCTAGTCATAAATTTTGTCTTTACCTTCTTTGAGCAGAAAAAGATTACCCAATAATATATTAAAAAACCTAAATGTTCAGACTTAAGTATTTCATATAGACCTTTAAAAGTTATCCCATCATTCAAATTTTAAATATAACTTTTCATCAATGCCTAATATATGAGCTTAAACCAAATCTAAAAAAAAAAATAAATAATTCAATTATGTTTTATGAAAACATGTACTATCAAAACTGTTACTTGAGTGCATTGCAGTTCCATTTTGAAAATTATCAGTAGAAGTACTGCAAAGTTTCTAATTATCTTTATAAAAGAAAAAAAAATAGATCAAAATGAATCTTTAAAATAGTTAGGGTTCTTCTTCTGTTGTTTGCTCAGTAAAATCCACATTGGTACAACAGCTTTTTTTAAATGTATTTAATTGTTAAACTTCTTTGTAGTTGTAATGCATCTATTTTATACCAAGGGCCATTTTTCATGTCAGCTGATTTTTTTTCCATTAAAAAAAAAACTGTATTTGTTTTAATAACTAAATAAGCATACTAAAACTTTTGCATTGCAAGATGTGCAAGGTAAAAAAAAAATCACATTAAAAAGCATTAAATTATGATAGAAAATCATTGCTTAAAAGATTTTTTCTGTGGATGTATACGTTTACTAACAAAGTTGTGAGAGCTTCACAGAAAGCACTTCTGTTTTGCTTTTTCTTTTATCTGACTACATTAATGTCGTTTTAGTCTGGATTTCATTTTTACTGTTGGATATCCTTAGGAATTTTAATATTTATATTAATGTGTCTTTGGTTTGATTGAATTGCACATGGTTCTGTCACCTCTCCACTGTAGCATCAAACAAAAAACATGACACATTTTCTTAAAACATTTAATCTAATATGTGACTAAGATATAAAAAGCAGAGACAATGTTAAAATACAGTAAGAAGTGCTTATTTGCATAGCAAATAATTAAAAGAAGTATGTTTTTATTTTGGGCACCATAGTTGCACAACTGGTAGAGCTGCTGCCTCTCAGTGAGCAGATTACCCTGGTTCAAATCCCAGTCTGGGGACCCTTCTGGGTAGAGTTTGCACGTTCTCTGCGTATTCTCCAGGTACTCCGGTTTCCTCCCACAGACCAAAAAAAAAAACAAAAAAAAAAACATGCATGTAAGGCTGATTGGCAACTCTAAATTGTCCCTAGGTGTGAATGAGAATTTGAATGGTTGTTTGTCTCTATGTGTCCCTGTGATGGACTTGCAACCTGTCCAGGGTGTACCCCACCTCTAGCAAAGTGATGGCTGGACATGGACACCAGTGACTCCAGCGACCAAAAATGAATAAGTGGGTAAAGCTAATGGATGGATGGATGGATGGATGTTTTTATTTTTAGTTGCATAAATCGTGATTATTTTAGATTTTAGTAACAAATACCCTTTAAACCAGCATATAAGGAGTGCAAGCCAGTGTATCTCTGGTGCCAGTCCCAAGCAAAGGTTAATGGTGAGGTTTGTGTCAGTAAGGGCATACGACCTAAAACATTTTTGCCAAAAGTATAATGTTCATCTAAGTGACGCCATACCAGATTGGTCGAGGCCCCGGTTATCAAGGACTGCCACTGATGCTGTTGACAAACAAGGTGCAGAGGGTGCGAGGAGGGAAATTGGTCAGGAGAGAGAGGGAGACGAGGACTATCTAGCATGTAGGAGTGAAGGTGGCAATTCTAAATGTGGGGACAATGACTGGCAAAGGTAGAGAGCTGGCTGACATGATGCAGGGAAGGAAGGTAAATCTTTTATGTGTCCAAGAGACCAAGTGGAAGGACAGCAAGGCTTGCAGCATTGGAGCAGGGTGTAAACTGTTTTACCGTGGTGTGGATAGAAAGACAAATGGGCTAGGGGTGGCCCTGAAAGAGGAGTTAACAAATAATGTAGTAGAGATGGAAAATGTCAGACAGAGTGAAATGTGTGAAGGTAGAAGTAGAAGGTCTCATGCTAAATATTGTCAGTGGTTATGCTCCACAGGTTGGATGTGATTTAAATGAGAAAGATGAATTTTGAAAGGATCTGGATGAAGTGACAAGAGAGTTTTCCCAAGGAGGAGAGAGTGGTGATCAGAGCAGACCTGAATGAACATGTTGGTGAAGTAAACCGAGTGGATGAAGAAGTGATAGGTAGGTTTGGTGTCAAGGAAAAAAACAACAACAAAAAAACAGGAAGGACAGATTGATGTTGCCAATAGAATGGAATTGGCTATAGTCAACACTTATTTCCAGAAGATGGAGGAACATAGAGTGACGTATAAGAGTGGAGGCAGGAGTACGCAGGTTGACTACATTCTGTGTAGAAGTGGAAACTTGGGGGAGATTGGAGACTGTAAGGTTGTGTCAGGGGAGAGCGTGGCTAGACAGCATCAAATGTTTGTGTGTAGAATGACTATTGTGTGAATAAGAGAAAAAGAGTAAAATCAGCGAAGATGACCAAATTGTGGAAGCAGAGGAAAGAAGAATGTTGTGAGGAGCTCAGAAAGGTGCTGTTAAAGGCTCTGGGTGGTAAGAAAGAGCTTCAAGATGACTGGGCTACTACACCAATGGTAATTAGAGAGACAGGTAGGAAGGTACTTGGTGTTGTCATCTGGACAGAGAAAATATGATAAGGAAACCTGGTGGTGGAATAATGAAGTGCAGGTAGCTATTCAGATAAAGAGGATAGACAAGAAGAAATATGTATGATAGTGAGAGGACTGAAGAGAGGAGACAGGAATATAATAAAATGCAACATAGAGCAAAGAGGGAGGTATCTAAGGAAAACCAAAAGCAGCATGATGAGTTGTTTGGGAGATTGGACACTAAAGAGAGCGATAAGGACTTGTATCGATTGGCAAGACAGAGGGATCAGGTTGGAAAGTATGTGCAATAGGTTATGTTGGTAAGGGATAGGAATGGTAATTGTCTAACAAATGGAGAGTGTGATTGGAAGATAGGAGTACTGTGAAGAGCTAATGAAAGAAGATAATGAAATAGATAGAGTAGAGGTCATAGAAATCTTGGACCAGGCAGTGGGAAAGATTAGTGAGGGTGATGTCTGGAAAGCTCTGAAAATAATGAAGAAGGGGAAACAGTAGGACATGATGACATACCAGTGGAGGTTTGGAAATCAGAATCAGAATCAGAATGCCTTTATTGTCATTATACGCAGTACAATGAAATTAAGAGCCACTCCTTTTTCCAGTGCAAAAACACGCCTTAAGAAAACACACATTAAACACACACTAAAAATATAAAAAAATGTAACGCAATATAGATATAATAATGAAAGTAAAAAAATACAAGTATTACACAATTGTATTGCACATTGTGGATATTAGTGAGGTAGTTAAGGTGACTGAGGGTATGAAATGTCTGTAGTATTGCACAGTAGAAGTCCAGGTGTTTGGGAGGTTAGATGATTAAATCAGTGCATGTGTGAGTTCAGTGTGGTGATGGCTTTCGGGAAAAAACTGTTCTTGAATCTGTTTGTTCTTGTTCTGATGCACCTATAGCGTTTCCCTGAAGGTAACAAGTCAAACAGTTCAAAACCTGGGTGTGAACAGTCCATGATTATGTTTTCTGCTCTGTTGAGGCAGCGTGATGTGTAAATGTCCATCAGGGAGGGGAGAGGGCAGCCAATTATCTTTTGTGCTGTCTTGACTGCTCTCTGAAGCCTCTCCCTGTCAGCCAGGGTGCAGCTGCCGTACCATACTGAGATACAGTATGTCAGCAGGCTCTCGATGGACGAGCGGTAGAAGGTCAGCAGCAGTTTTGTGTTCAGGTTGTGCTTCTTAAGGACTCTTAAGAAGTGTAGTCTCTGCTGAGCCTTCTTGATGACCGCTGTGGTGTTCTCTTTCCAGTTTAGGTCAGCAGAGATATGGACACCAAGAAATCTGAAAGTGTGAACCCTCTCCACGCACTCGCCGTTGATGTAAAGGGGGGCTAGGTTGGTGCTGTGCTTCCTGAAATCAATAATCACCTCCTTGGTTTTTTTGATATTCAGAGCCAGATTTTTCGCTGTGTTTGTTTTGGAGAGATGACATTCAATGGTATATTTGAGGGAGAGAAAATACCATGGGAATAGAGAGGTGTGCTGGTGCCCACTTTTAAGAACAAGAGTGATGTACAGTTGTAGCAACTACAGGGACATTAAGTTGATAGTTGATAAGTCACACACTGAAGATCTAGGAGAGAGTTGTGGAAGCAAGACTTAGATGAGAGGTGACTGTGAGCAGCAGTATGGTTTCATGCATAGAAAGAGCACCACAGATGCCATCTTTGCTTTGAGGATGCTAATAGAGAAGTACAGTAAGGGTCGGAAAGAACTTCATTGTGTCTTTGTGGATTCAGAAAAAGCATACGACAGTGTGCTGAGGGAGGAGGTGTGAGGAAATCTGGAGTGGCAAAAAAATATGATATACTGGTACTGAACATGTATGAGGACAGCATGGCTAGATGTGCTGTAGGAGTGACGGATAGCTTCAAGGTGGAGGTGGGATTGCATCGGCTCTGAGCCCCTTTTTGTTTGCTCTGGTGATGGACCAACTAACAGATGAGGCCAGGCAGGAATCCCCATTTATTATGATGTTTGCAGATGACATTGTGATCTGTGGTGAGAACAGAGAACAGGTGGAAGAGAACTTGAAGGGGTAGAGGTATGCTCTTGAAAGAAGAGGAATGAAAGTCAGCCATAGTAAGACAGAGTACATGTGTGTGAATGAGAGGGAGGCTGGTGGAACTGTGAGGCTACAAGGAGACAAGGTCACAAAGGTGGGGTCCAGTGTCCAGAAAAATGGGAAGTGTGGTAAACGGGTGAATAAGAGAGTTCAGGCAGGATGGAGTGGATGGAGAAAAGTTTCAGAAGTGATTTGTGACAAAAATTTGGCAGTAAAGGTCAAAGGAAAAGTTTACAAGACAGTGGTGAGACCAGCTATGTTGTATGGTCTGGAAACAGTGGCACAGACAAAAAGACAGGAGAAAGAACTGGGAGTGGTAGAAATTAAGCTTTTGAGGTTCTCCTTAAGACTTCTATCTGGCATCCTTAAATAGATAACTTTATTATTTACTTTTGCTGTATGTGAAGGGGCAGCATGGCAGTGCAGTTGGTAATGCTGCTGCCTCTCAGTGAGCAGGTTTGCTGCCTCTCTGTGATCATGTTGCCCCAGTTCAAATCCCGATCTGGGGGCCTTTCTGGGTGGAGTTTTCATGTTCTCTCTGTGCATGCATGGGCTTTCTCCATATACTCTGGTTTCCTCCCACAGACTAAAAACATGCATGTTAGGCTGATTGGTAACTCTAAATTGTCCCTATAGTTGTGCGTGAGAGTGTGAATGGTTGCTTCTCTGTGTACCTGTGATGGACTTGCAACCTGTCCAGGGTATACCCCACCTCTTTCACAGTGATAGACAGTCATGGGCACCAGTGACCCCCACGACCTGAAAAAATAAGAAGTGGATAAAGATAATAGATTCATGGATAGGAATGTTTTTGTACAGTGCCCTGAGATGACTTCTGTTGTAACTTAGTGCTATATAAATGAACTGAACTGAACTGAGTAACAAGGATGTATAAGATTAAAAATGAGATCACCAGAGGTACAGCACAGGTTGAACAACTGTGAGATAAAGTTTGAGAGGCCAGACTGAACTGGTTTGGACATGTCCAGAGGAGGGCCAGTGTGTATATTGGTAGAAGAATGTTAGAAATGTCCCCAGGAAAGAGACAAAAAGGAGATATACGGATGCAGTTAGAGAGGGCAGTTGGAGTGAGGACAGAGGATGCAGAGGACAGAGTAAGATGGAGGAGGATGACTCGCTGTGGCGACCCCTGAAGAGGGAAAAGCCAAAGGAACAAGAAGGTAACAAATATCCTTTGAAACAAATTTAGAAAAAGTAAGGTCACTCCAAAGTGATAAAATTTTGGCAAATTATTTTTTTTTTTTCCTGATTCATCTTTATTTTAGTCTTATTTAGTCTTTTTCACATGCAATTCACAACTTTACTTGAAAACATGATCAGTTAACACAACTTGACGGTCACACATTCTTGACATTCTCTGCACATTTAATGGTTGCCAACTTGTTGCCTTGTTTTGTTGTTGTCTTCCAAGTAATGCATTTTTAGTACCAATACTCCATTTCTAAAATGAAGTATACTTTGCAGAGGAAAATACAAGCAGCTGTTTTACATTAAACTGTAAAAAGCAACCGTTTTTGAACAAGCTAGCAGGTATTTTACACAAATTGCACAAGTCATAAAAATCTTTGGAATGTATGACTGATTTATCTTTCAGATGCAGTCTATTTGCCTTGTTTATGGAAGCTGATTAAGAGGAAGTAATGTGCAGGCAGTGCATTTCAGATTACTTTTATTACATAGTGATATTAAATATGAATTAAATTTTTTTTCACTGTACGCAAACTAAAACACATCACTCATTGATATTTAGTGCTGCTTAAACTCACAGCTCAAACGTGTGCATGCAAAACATTCCCAACAAATGTGCTTTTAGTATTATCATTGTTACCGGCGTTTTATCTAATATCTATTTAGATGTGCACATGTTCCAACCCCCTTGCACTCTTATTTTCTTCTACATTTGTAAATATGATCCTTTCTGTAAAAATTTGGAGCAAAAAACATCAAAGTTAAAGTGGAAGCATAATTGGTGATTATAAACAAAACGCAACATATTACAAGATTTAAATCTGCTGCCAGTGATTAAAATACAAGAAAGACGTTTACAGAAAGGAAGCATTTATCTTTATTATTATTTGATGCGTATAGTTACGTCACCAGTTTTTCATTTTTTATTATTCTTGTCCCTAATATAATTGCGCTCTGTCTCACTTAAAAAAAACAAAAAAATCTGTCAGCTTTCTTTTAAATGGTGAAAGCTGCAGACTGTAATTTTAATTTTAATTGTTTATATTTTGTTTTGGGGACAAACACGTTCCCGGATGATGAGGTCATTGTTATCGCGATAGTTTGTTTGAGGAATGGAGGGGGGTTATTTTTAATGCGCTTCATTGAGGGGGAATTTACCGTTCAGCTCCACGGTCAGGCTCCGGTTTTCTACTTTCAACATAATCACGGTTTGTCCTCGTGTTTTGTAATTTAAACTGCTCCACGCGGAACTCCCACGATGACGCAACGTGTCGGAGGTTTTTGCGGGACGGGCTGCGTGCTCCTCGTTCTCTGTCTTTTAGCCACGATGAACCCCGTTTCTGCAGTCACTCATTATTCTATACCGGAAGAAATGGAGGAGGGATCCGTGGTCGCGAACCTCGCAGCTGATTTGGGACTAGAAGTGAAGTCTCTGAGGGCGAGGAAGATGCGCCTGGATGTTGTAGCCAATAAGAAATACCTCGACATCAACAAAGACACGGGGGAGCTTTTTATCCAGGAAAGGGTGGATCGAGAGTTTTTGTGCCCATCCAAGACAACTTCACATTGTATCCTGAAATTAGACGCCTCGATTGAGAACCCTGTCCGGATGTTTAACATCGAGGTAGAAATTACAGATATAAACGACAACTCTCCTCATTTTCGGAGAGGAACGATGCATTTGGACATCTCTGAGTCAACCCCGGTCGGAGAGAGGTTCTCCCTGAATAATGCTGCAGACCCAGATGTCGGAGTTAATTCGGTGAAGAATTACCACCTGAGCGCGAGCGATCAGTTTTCTATTGAGATTCAAACAGGAAGAGATGGGACCAAGTTTGCAGACTTGGTTCTGAAAGAGCCTCTGGACAGGGAGCATCAGGCTGTTCATAACCTCATCCTCACTGCTGTGGATGGAGGGGTGCCCATGCGCACAGGTACAGCCAGCATAATTGTGCGCGTGCTCGATGTAAATGACAACGCCCCTTCGTTTGACAAAGACAAGTACGTGGTGGATGTGATGGAGAACTCCCCCATAGGCAGTTTAGTGATCAAACTGAACGCTAGTGATTTAGATGAAGGATCTAATTCTGATGTTGTTTATTCGTACAGTTTGTACACGTCAGAGAGAACCCAGAGTGTGTTTAAACTGAACCCAGAAAATGGTGAAATCAGAGTGAAAGAAATGATAAATTATGAAGATTTTAAGTTGTATGAGATGGAGGTTATAGCCAGTGATAAGGGTCCAAACTCTTTATCTGGACAGTGTAAAGTGACAATACAGGTGACGGACATGAATGATAATCATCCTGAAATTTCTATCAAATCATTTCAGAGTCCGGTGAA